TTCTTTCCTTTCTTTCTTTCTCCCCTTCTTTTCTGCCTTCGTTCTGCTAGAAACCCATAACTTACAGTATGACTCTGTCTTTAGTGGTTGTACAATGTCTTGTTGGGACCATCTACATTTTTAAAGAATGCCACTATCATGGGATTCCGATGCCACCTTTATAAAATAAATCCACTTTTGAGGCCTCTGTGTGATGTGTCACTCCTGTGCCTCCTTTTCTCTCAAACCCTCTCTGGCTGAGCCGGACTCTGTATTCCCTCAGGATATGTTTTCTCACTTAGCTTTATTTGTTACATAGTATTCCCTTTCAGATTAATTAAGACATTGATTTGATTATGAGTCATTTTCCAAGCTTATCAGAATACTACAGACTAAAATATACACTATTGGATCACTTGAGACAATAAGAAAACTTCAGGTCCATAAAAAAAAAATAGCCATTTTATCAACTTGCAAATAGAATCATTGAGAAATTTACTGAAAGGTCATCTTTTATGGGCTTTATTTCTCTCTTCTTGGAAATCAATACTTGCTGATTGGCTGATTGATTTATATAATAAACTCTATGACCTTAAAACTTGCAGCAAGATCTCCTTTTGTCTTTTTTATCTACATCAGTACACTCCCATAAACACACACATTATTATTACCATGACACAAGAAATGCCACAAGAATACCACAAATAAATTTTCTAACTAGTCTCCCAATTGATCATTTTTTATTTTGGTATGCTTACCTTTTGAAAACTTTGTAACTATTTTAATTCATAATTTTTTTGAGACAGAGTCTTACTTTGCCACCTGGGGTTGAGTGCCATGGCATCACCATAGCTCAGTCTGGTCTCAAACTCCTGAGCTCCAGCAATCTACCACCTTGACCTCCCAGAGGGCTAGAATTACTTAGTTCATAAATATCTCTGTGACCATTGTAGTCTTTTGGATTTCATTTTCTAAATTTTCTTTATCATGCACTTAATAGACCCTGATATCACATTTTTTTTTTTTTATAATTAGGAGGGTTCAGCAGTATTGGAAAAACTCCAAAGCTGAACCTATTTTTGATAAAAATGTAACATAGCACTTTTACTTAGCAAGGCTCTGACCTTCCCTCAGTATTTCAACACATCATTGATTTGGGGGCCTTCACTCTATTGAGGTGGTTATGTCTCCCTCATGTATTTATTATAGCCCTGTTTTACAAAATTGTCAAGTAGGTCCTTCGATAAATTCACATCAGCACAGTCCTCGCTTCTCTCTGTGACTCCAAGTGATGAGAGTGCATAGGGCAGAAAGGGGAGAAACTGGTGGAGGTGAGGCAGCAGAGGTAACAGGAAAGGACAATAAAGGGGGCCCTGGAATGGGTACCAAGAACTCAGTTCCTAAGTTGGTCACCACCACAAAGACCACTGGTTAGGTCCCCAGTCATGGGGGAATAGATTAGAGAATGAGCTGTGTGCAGATGAACTGGAAATGAAACACTCTTCAAAACTGCAGCCATTGAAGGTGTTCTTCCCAGGAACCCCTTAGTGGAAAGTCTCCCCAAGGAAATAACCTGGGGATGAGAGGAAGGGCTGGTGCCACAAACAAGAACCGTCTCTAACAGCACCTGGAGATTCAGAACATCTGCCGGTGAAGGGACCTCCCACCTGGCCAATAGTAAGAAAGACGCTCTTCGAGGAGGCCGTCTTGGATTATAATCTCCATAAGCAGAATCTGAAACGCAGACTATTATGAAAGTGCTTACTGAGGGAGTGCTCGAGGGACAAGGAAAGTTAGAGACAAGGGCAGGGAAGGAGAGGGAAGCTAAAGCTACTGTCAGAAGACATTTACTCAGCAGCACGAATTGCACCTCCCAAATTGGTGGCATCAAGGCAAGGAGGCTGAACTTTTTATTCCTGTGTTGATCGCTCTGGCTGTTGGCTGTCCAAGAGTGGGTCCTGGGTGGGAGGGGACAGGGGAAATTTCCTTTAGACGGGAGAAATTCTCTGTAGCAGCGGGAGGTGTGTGTGCCCTGCTGGGGACAGGGATCTGGGCACGGTGCCAATAGCACCTCCACGGGGCTCAGGTACTTCCACACTCTCAGAAGAAGATAATGCTGAATATTAGCAATATTATTCCTGATTCTTAAGTAGGAATAAACAAATCTGGGGATGTAGCATAATATATGTAGGAAATAAAGAGTAGTCTGCCTGAGGTTAAGGCAGATGGGAATCTGAGTTATAATTAGAGGCCTTTTTTTTTTTTTTTGTAATGACTATACACACACAAATTATATATATATATATATACACACACACACATAGTTTTTTTTGTAATGACTGTGTGTATATACATATACACATATATGTATATATAGAGAGATGGGAAAGAGATAAAGAGAGACTGATTTTAAAGGATTGCTTTTCCCAGTTATGGAGACTGCAGGGCAGGCTGGCAGGTTGAAGAGCCAGAACAGAGTTAATGACAGGTCTTGAGTTCAAGGGCAATCTTCTTCCTCTGGGAAACCCTGTTGTCTCACTAAGGCTTTCAATTGATTAAGTGAGGTCCATTCACATTATGGTGGATAGTCTATGTTATTGAAAAATCTATTGCTTTAAACTTAAAAATACCTCCAGCAACATCTAGATGTATTTGCCAAAGCTAAGTACTACAGCCTAGCGAAGTTGACACATAAAATGCGCCATCATTGAGATCATCATCAGAACCATCTTTCCAGTACTTATTATATTTCTACAAGTGAGAATTTTCTTCAAACTCTCATAAATATATAAAAATCCCATAATAATGTTTCTGCAAAACAACTATAATGTTATTTTTCTGTATTTCAATGTATTAGAGTTTTCAGTAATCTATAAGTGAAAAAATGGTCATCAGCTGTGCAGTAGGACAATAACTTGCTTCTTCTTCAGTAGAGTTAAGAATGTTTCCATATTCCAGTTAAACTCAATCTTCCAATGCAGCATGAAAGACTGTGAAATGTTCTGTTTTTCACATAGATATTTCCTAACACAATCTCCAGAATGTTACCCTTTAAAATTTAATTGATAAATTAATTTATTTTGTGTGTGTCTATTAAAACGATGCCCTTCAGGATAGTTTATTTCAAGGTCTGGTAAAAAAAATTAATGCTAAGATTGAAACAAAATATTATAGTTTTTAACTGCAATATCCTCTAGTTCACTTTTGAGAAGCAAACAGATTAACATTCTCTAAGATATAAAAAAGTAGCATATCCCACCTATCTGAATTAAGTGAAAATTGGCAATATAGGCTGTTTTCCATTTTCAGAGATGGTGATGTTGAGAGTGATTATGTCTCTGATTGTAACCGAAGTGTCCAATAGACACTCATTCATCTTTTCCGTACCCCTTTGCTGAGGTATGCATCATCTTGCCGTGCCTCGCTTTTGCTTCTGTTTGGCAGAACTATTGTCACTCCCGCCCTTGCACCCTTCTCCTCATCATGCGTGTTCTGCTGTCTGCAAGCCTTAGGCCCTCTCCCTGTCCTTTTTCTCATACTCAGACTTAAAAAGCTTTCTCTTTCCTTTTTCTCACTTTGAATTCTACCTTCTACTTTTATTTCCTGCTGCACTTTCCCTTTCTCTTTTTTCTTAATCTTTAAAAAAAAAATCATATAATATAAAGGTACAATTAGGCAACACTGTTTGCATTTGTTAGGCAGGGTCCCTGTTGTAGTTGTGCCCCTCACCCAGGAGCTGTGCCAGGGACCCTTTCACTGTGCCCATTAGGCAGGAGCACATCAATCTCTCTTCCTCCTTCCCCTTCTCCTTAACTTGAATTGAATGGAGTTTTTCTCCTGTGTGGGCATGTATTAGATCATCTACTGGCTTCCTGTTAGTATTGAGTACGTTGGATATGATAACATGGAATGCTTCCAAATCTGTGTGTCATCCTTGTGCAGGGGCCGTGCTCATCTTCTCTGTGTCATTCCAATTTTAGTATACGTGCTGCTGAAGTGAGCACCACCCTCCCTGTTTTATCTAGACTAGCTTGAGTGTCCTTTCTGACACTCTTGAAGTATCTTGAACCAACCACATTACTTGTTATTTATATATATTTTTTACTTTCAGAACCAGAACTTTTCTTCTGGAAGAGCAAAATTGTTCAAAGTTATGAGTAGGCGTGGACCATCCAAACAACAACAACAACAACAAATTTATTCTCCAAATAATGATAACCCCTTTCTATGTGCCACTCTGTGACAGAGACACATCTTTTGTTATGTTAGCAAAGTTTACATATGAAAATGGAAACAATCATTGGTTAAGGATCCCAAGACAAGAAAACGCCATACTTCAAGTTATTCTGATAGCAGGCATAGGTTAAGTAAGCAGGCATAGGGTAAGTAAGGCATTATAATTAATATTTTTGAACATACTGATGATTTCCATTCCAAATCCTGTTTTCTGTTACCTTCTTTATAAGTATTGTAAGTATAAGTAAGGCATAGGGTAAGTAAGGCATAAGGTAAGTGAAATATAATTAATATTTTTGAACATACTGATGATTTCCATTCCAAATTCTGTTTTCTGTTACCTTCTTTATAAGTATTGTCTCTGGGGCAGCGCCTG